ATGTTGTCATGCCATCTGGTTATTTTCAAAGACGCCGCAATAAAACGAATAAACAGGTGCAAAAAACGATCAAACCATCAAGGTTTTAGGTACTGAAATCTACGAAAATACTAACTTTTTTATATATAATTCCACATGTAAATATTCTTATAACATTTACTTGCTTAGTCCTACATATAAAATTGTTTACTTTTATTTATAAGTACGTGAAAATAATTCTTAAAATGTGGGGTTAGAATAACAGCAAACGCATGTTTTACAAACGCTTTTTTTTTAGTTATTATTTTATTTGAGTAAATTTAAATGGTAACAATGAATAAACAAAACATCAAGGATTTTATTTTTGCGCTTACTTTTGTCCTACACGTTTTACTTTTAAAGATTTCAGTACCTAAAAACGCCAGAAATTTCACTATTTCTCGGCCGGGAATATGGCCACCTTAATAAAAATTATATGAGGCGAAGGATAAGTAGAAAATCAAATGCCAATGTCTACCATAACGGTGCAGAGGTCCAGTGTCTTGGCCAGCCAGATTGCCATATCTAAACCCCTTGGACTTCCATGCTTGAGGTTACCTGAAAAGTAAAATTTACGCTACTCCAACAGATACAAGACCACAACTAATGCAATAAATAGAAGACGGGTATAATGAATTAAAAGAAAACCATCACATAATATTAGATTCAATTAGTTCCATTAATAGAAGATGTCAGAAATGTATCGATGTGGGTGGTTCGCATTTTAAACAATTGTTGTAAATACACAACGTTAATTTAGTTTCTTGTTTAGTTGTTGTTGCTTGGTAAATGTATTTTTATTACTATTTTGATTTAAATTGTTCTTATTTGTAAAGATAATGCCTCCAGAGAAAACTAAAACACACCAGGAACACTACCTCATAAGTGATATGGAAAGAATTTTGTTGATGTGCTTACAAATTGCACTTACTTTTAAGCATAAACATAAATAGTTTTGTAATATTAGATTTGAAGTGTCTGCCACAAGGGGATTGCATTTGTATGATTAACTTGAAAATGGTGAACCTTAGGGAAAAAATTCTAGTCACCTTTTTTACGTATTTAGTGCATTAGAATATAAATCCGTTACAATAACTCGTAAAAAATACAGTGGCGTAGGTTTTTTTTTATAAAAAGTGGTGACCCCTGTCCAGTTGTACACCACTGGTTAAACCTTTAGAGCTCATATTTTGGGAAATGCAAGGCCTACTATCGTACATTATTTGTACCAAATTTTATTGAGAGCGGTTAATAGATTTCTGAGATATAAACAAAAAATATATATTTTTTAACAACTTCAACACCCTGTATCTCTAAAACGAGGCCGTTCCAGACCTATGTTTATAAGGCAAATACCTATTATTTTAAGAGATCTATCTGCCCTCGAAGTTTCCTGCATAAAATTCCGACCGATATATCAAGTAGGCCACCCGAGGCCCATCTGACGGAATAATTTTTAAACTGTATATTTTGAATTTTTAGAATGTCCTCATAACATTTAATAATAACCCTGCTGGAGGGGTAAGATATTTTCAAAATTAANTTGAACTAAATATTTTTTTAATTTATACTTATTTACACCCATTCAAATGTGAACACCTGTAAATTTAATGTTATAATACTATATAGTTGTTACGATCTCAATTGGAACCGCATAACAACATTTAACTCATAAGTTCTACGGAATCCATAGACGTCCAGAAAAATTTAGCCCTGTCTCGTCTAGATACACTATATTCCGAGCTATATTACCAAATAATTACTATACGATTGTCAAGTTTTTTATGTTTAAAATTATAATCAGGATAATTGCTTAATTTATCTCGAATCATGTTTAAAGTAGGAACTTTATTTTCTTTATACATACTCGTATTATAAATTGTGTGCCGCATTACATCTGGTAAATAGTCAATTTTTTTTAATTTTATATTTTTCCGTTTCCTCTTTGTACCGTGATCAATCCTTCTTTAATTACACGATAAATTGGCCTTTTTTGGATATCTTAGTTAATTCGTTAATCCGTTTCCTAACGTTTTATCACATTGTTCACTATTTTCAATTTCCAAACATTCATATATATTTAATATAATACGTTGACTTTTTACGTATAAATCTTTGTTTTTAAACTCTGAGTTTGTTTCAACACTTTCGACAAAAACCTGTTTCACTATTTGGGGATTTTCGGAGTTATTTCGTTATCCTCCGCTTCAAAGAGTCTCCAGAAAGCCACGCTAAATTACTAGATAATTACATATAACATTTATTTTAATAACTATTACCCTTTACTGGTTACGATATGAACAAATAAATCAACTAATAAATAATAATACGTACTATACCAACAAAATACCCCGCCAAACAATGCTCTGCACGGCACTGGCAAAGCGACAAAGCTAAGTGAACCCGTGTACCATACAAAAAAATTATTTACGACCTAGTGGACCAAGACAGGTTTGCTTTGATGACCAGCGTGCCGCCGTCAATTCTACATCAGGCGGACTAGTTTACTAATATCGGACTCGCCGAAATGTTATACGAGTATAAATTACGAGACACACCATGGTCAAAGCATAAGAAGAAATTTCAGGAGACATGCATACAGTCCTGTGCTTTAAGATTTACAGGTTCCAATTGACATCGTAACAACTATACTACACTTCCCAAATTACATTGAAATATCTTTAAAATAATGTAATTAAAAAAAATGCTACAGAGGTAGTTTGATCTAACTCGGTTTATTTTCACCCTAGGAAGCTACATTTACAGTATGCCCCATTTGCTTCCGGACATCCTGTACATAAATGTCCTCTAATGTATTTTCACTTGAAAACAATCGTCTCCTGGAAAATTTTACATGATGAATAAAAAAAACACACCCAAAACATGTTTTCCTCTATTAGTCCAGTCGGCAGAGGCCGAAAAGTTACTGTTGGTGACATTTCCTTGATAACTCGGAAATAACTACACAGAAATACTTTAAATGATGAGTACAATAACAGGCTAATTTGCTGACAAAATATTATATCAGGAAAAAAGTTATTAACAATTTACTCGTGAATAATTTTTTTTAGTAGTTTTCGTTAAATAACTTCGCGGGATGACTTTGTACGAAAAAATGCTTAGACATGATTTAGTTCGTAATAAAAATAGTTAGAAAATGGCGGTGGTCCGATTATGAAATTTGTAATAATAAAGCCGTGAGATTGAAAAAACGGTATAAAACGTCAATTTTTTAAAGTTCCTGTAAAAATGTCAATTATAAACAAAAAGTGATAAACCTTTTGAAAACTATAGCTCAATATATATACAATAATGACGCTAAAGCCGAAAATCAGGAGAGCAAAACTTTTTGTTCTATAAGGTTTTATACATCCATAGGCATCTGAAACTCGAAACTTTGCCAAATTTGTTTGAAGTTTTGCTGACACTTGAAATTTGGTATACACATAGTGTAAATATGCAGAAACCAAAAGCAATTTGCAAAATTCAATTATCTTCATTTTTGCAGCTTTGGTAAGGTTTTATACGTCACCCTAGTTTTATACGTCACCGTTTTTTTAATTTTTGGACGTATATTTATGTATATTTATAAAATATTCCATTACGGTAGATTAGCCAGCATAATTACCTACAATTTAAAAAAATATATATTTTCATCGTTTAGATCCTAAGCTACTTAACATTTTGCGCCTGTTAGCCGTAGTCGTACATTATTCAACATATTAACATAAAACAAAATCGTACGTGTGGGGTAAACCTTTAACTTTTCATTTTCGAGCGCGAGCTCCGCTCTTCGGCGCTTGTATACTATTAGAAATATGCAACAGTAAATTTAAACAATTGTTTACTTAAAGTTAAAGGTTTACCCCACACGTACGTTTTTGTTTTATGTTGATATGTTGAATAATGTACGAGTATGGCTAACAGGCGCAAAATGTTAAGTAGCTTAGGATCTAAACGATGAAAATATATATTTTTTTAAATTGTAGGTAATTATGCTGGCTAATCTACCGTAATGGAATATTTTATAAATATACATAAATATACGTCCAAAAATTAAAAAAACGGTGACGTATAAAACTAGGGTGACGTATAAAACCTTACCAAAACTGCAAAAATGAAGATACTTGAATTTTGCAAATTGCTTTTGGTTTCTGCATATTTACACTATGTGTGTACCAAATTTCAAGTGTCAGCAAAGCTTCGAACAAATTTGGCAAAGTTTCGAGTTTCAGATGCCGATGAATGTATAACACCTTATAGAACAAAAAGTTTTGCTCTCCTGATTTTCGGCTTTAGCGTCATTATTGTATATATATTGAACTATAGTTTTCGAAAGTTTTATCACTTTTTGTTTATAATTGACATTTTTACAGCAACTTAAAAAAATTGGCGTTTTATACCGTTTTTTCAATCTCACGGCTTTGTTATTGCAAATTTCGTAATCGGACCACCGCCATTTTGTAGCTATTTTTATTACGAACAAAATCAGGTTCTCAGCATTTTTTCGTTCAAAGTCATCCCCCTGAGTTATTTAAAGAAAACTACTAAAATTTTTTTTTTTCACTATTAAATTGTTAAACACTTTTTTCCTGATGATAAAATACTTTGTCAGCAAATTAGCCTGTTATTGTACTCATTATTTAAATTAGGCCTGTGTAGTTATTTCCGGATTATCAAGGTTTGACAGAGGCCGAACCTCTACCAACTGGACTATATAGCTTAATCTCTTTTTCTACCTTCTATGCTCGCTCTCAGCTGTTATCTAATTCTTCTTTACCTCCTGTGTCTTAAGCCTTCTTTCTCTCACTATCCCCTTCTTATTTTCGCCGAATATCTCAAACTTACACACCTCGTTCGATCTCACACACCCCGTCCCCCCCACTGTCGAGCTGACTAAAAACAGAGAAACGACCTTCCGACCGTTGGGTTGGCCCCCCTCTGCACCTGTAGCCTTAGACTGACCTAGCTTTGACCTCCAGCTGACCTTTTCTTCTCGGTGTTAGTGCCGGCCCCCAGGCAACTCACCCTCGAGCGGCAGCTCAACAAGAGCGTGTTGATATCGTGGACTGCGCCTGACGGGACGGGGCCAGGGAATCAGATCGAGAGCTACCACGTGTACGTCGACGGAGTGCTCAAGACCACCATCAAGGCCACAGAGAGGACCAGGGCTCTGGTGGAGGGGGTGGACAGCAACAGGGTGAGTGGTTTTGTTTACGAATCTTTTTTTTTCTCGGTGCAGTGCTTCTGTCATCACGTATTATTTACTGCAACAGATTATTTGCACAGTGTATACGAGGTTTGATCAAAAAGTAACGGACATTTTCGAATTGCGCTTGTTGTATGTTGTCTATCAAGTTGTTTCTTTAAATTTTGTTCAGAGAAGGCAAATTTTCAATAAATACAGACAAAGAAAAATGAAAATTATGCCACAAATACGAGTAAATAGCTTCAGATAATATTTTTCTAAGCTTCAACACCTTGTATAGAACTGGTTCAAGACACATTAAAGCTTTTTAGTTTAAAATAACCCAAGGAATAACCTTTTAAAGTTATGACATATACTTAGAAAACATCCTGTATATTAACAAATATACAGGGTCGCTGATATGTATGGAAACGGTCGATTATCTCCTAACGTAAGATAGCTATTGAAAAATCATAAGACACAAACGTTTTAGGGTTTTTTAAATCTGTTACAATAAAGAAAAATTTGGTATGCAGGGTCAGTCATAAAGTCGTAAGGAAACAAAGATGCTTTTTCTTTAATGAAACACACTGTATATTATTCCGTATTTCAATTCTCCCCGAAATTCTAAACAAAATTCATATACTACATTATGTACCTAAACCTAACCGTTTTCAAAATATCGAACTTTGAAGATCATTTTCTTATAAATTATACAATAGTATATTAAACAACAAGCTTTGAAAACGACTCTTTGCACACGAGCGAGACATATTGGTGGACCGAGCCGAAGGCGAGGTCCACAAGTCGAGCGAGTGTGCAAAGAGATTTTCAAACGAGTTTTTTACGATACTTTTTATACGACTGCAAACAGAGACCACAAAAATCAAATTTTAATTTAAATCGTTTTTATGACTAAAATTGCCAACGCATTAACAAAATAAATTAAATACAACTTTTAATTTAACTCGTTTTTATTAAGAAAATTGCTAACGCATTAACAAAAGAAACTAATATTTAATATTTATGGTAACATTTGAACATTCCTTCAAGGTTACGCTGGGAAAAGCAGTATTATTGTGCACCTTGTTTTCGGTAATAGAGAATATTTTTGGTGTCGTGTTTTTAGTGCAGTTTTTCAGCGTGCGGTCGTTGTTTTCTTGTTGTATTCCAGTAGACGATCGTTGTTCTGGTTCTGTGGCAGCAGAAGACACTGAAGACTCTATCTTTTTCGAAACTTCCATTTTATTTCTCAAACAGTCATCAACGTAGCCTTCGGCAACTGTACTGGATTTCCACCCTCCATGGCGTTTGAGGGCAAGCAGATTTGAGCCAGAATTGACTAAAATTGTGGCCGATGAACGCCGAAAACAATGTCCCGTGTAACTTTCTGGATTCTCTAGCATCAAAAACTTGGCGATTTCCCTAGCCATGTTTCCAATTTTGTTGATGCCAACGTTTTGGCTTGAACATTTTCCGTTTTGATAGTTTAAAAAAAACCTGCCTGTCTTCAGATTAGGAGGACGAAGAGCACAGTACTTTTTTAAGATAGTGTAAAGGTTTCCTGTAATTGTAAAACACCTTGGTACCTTTGTTTTTGTATTCTTCAGTTTAATCAGCATAGCACTGCCGAAATCTTTGGTGTCTTCTATTTTGAGATAACATAATTCCTCCCTTCGACATGCCCCAGATAGTCCAACTGCCACCACCGCCTTGATAAGTAAATATTTGTCGTCTGATGCTTTCGTCAAAAACCGGCAAAAATCATCTTCTGTGAGGATTTGGGACTTCTTTGGGACGTAGTTTTCGGATTTTCGTTTGATTAGCGCTTGCAACTTTTTATAGCTTCCAAGATCTATGTTGTGATTGGCACTTAACGTTGACTTGAGCATCGAAAAAATCGTCCACAACGTCGAAGATTTATATTTCTTAGATAGTTCTTCAAAATACACCATTACTGCGTTTTCTGAGAAAGTTTGGACATTTTTGGCTAGTCGCCAGTCCATAAATCGGCTTAACTCAGCTTCATACCTGCTTCTGGATTTTGTGGGCAGCAGTTCCGAACATATTTCGCTTGCTTTCTGTAAAATCTCTTCAGAATCACACATTTTCACACCCAAACTTCGGGAATTCAACAATTTTTGAAGTATCTAATCAACAAAATAAAGGAGCCGTGACGGTTGCAATGAAACTCAGCCAACTTGAAACATTGCATAATTTGGGTGACAACATCAAACAAAAATCACAATCTGGAGACGCGTGTGCAAAGATGACATAACCATGTGCAAAATATTTAGCACACGGCGTGTGCAAAATACCATTTCCAGAGCGTGTTTTCCGTGCGCAAAACCCCCTTTTGCAAGGCAGTCGTAAAAAAAATATTTGTCCTTTAAGTTTACCATTTCCATCAAGTTTACCTTTGAAAGTTTCTAGCTCCATAACAACACACTGTCGTTCTTTTGTCTAATAATGATTATTTTGACAACACATGTCAAAAATACATGAATAATTTTCTCGCAAAAATGGCACGTTTAAGTGAAACCGAGCGTATCGAAGTTTTAATGATCATAGAAGATAGTGATAGAAGACGAAGTTGTGACGAAGTAGTGAATATTTTTCATGAATTGCATCCCGATCGAGAACGTATTTCTAAATCAACCGATTTTTGTTTTTAAATACGTAAAAATACCTCCTTACTTTTCAAAATATCGAAAGCACAATGAAATTACAAATGAAAACCTGAAAAGTCAATAAAAATAAATTTTTCTGGATCTGGCGTTGACTTTCAAAGACTTTTGCTTACACCATTCGAAAGAGCGGTAAAAATAAATTGATTTAAAAAAATCATCCCGGTAGCTGCTTTCTAAGTGCCACAATCCATTTGTTAAGTAAGAATTTTGAGAAGTCGAGCGCAACATGGGCACTATGACGTCACAGCGCTCCCCTCTCCTGGCTACCGCTAAGCCACGCGGATCACGCTGTCTTTAACGAACGTTTACTTGGTCGAATCCATTCAAAAAAAAATCAGCGTATAAAGGTAGTCTTCTACTTTACAACGAGACCAAGTTTATTCTAAAATATTAAATAGAACAGCCAAAATAGAACAGCCAAAATATTAAAAAATTGCCGAGATAAGGACTCTAGTTACCAGTTTTTTGGTTCTTTGTTAATAACTTTTATTTTGCAACTTAAAAATCTGAAATTTGCACAGACGCGAGATAATGTAATTACCTTTCGATCCTTTTTTACCAAATTTCGATACCTTGACTTGGGCAGAAGATAACGAGCGTTCAAATAAAAACGTGGTCAAGTTGGTTCTGAAAATTTGGACGTAGGGCGTAGCGTATAGCAAATGAACTTAAACGTCATCTGTCAAAGCGCTATATCGCCGCTATCAATTTGAATATTTTCGTTTTAAAAAGCGTTTAAAATGGTGTTTTCTCANAAATCTGAAATTTGCACAGACGCGAGATAATGTAATTACCTTTCGATCCTTTTTTACAAAATTTCGATACCTTGACTTGGGCAGAAGATATATCCGCTCGCGTTTTCGACTTTATAATTTTGCAATAGGCCGCCATTTTGAAATTGGGGGTCCGGATTGCGGGTATTTGTTGAGCACCCCAACAATTACCTTTTCCTGTAGTTTCATCCAAAATCAGTCAAATTCGTTCTTTTTATTTAATGCTGAAAATTTTTGCCCTTTTTTTTTTCCCGGTTATTTTTGCATTTTAAAAAAATTTTGCGAGCCTTCGCAAAAGCCTATTCTTGTAGCAAATTTCCTCAGGAACTAAATCGATAAGTATACCTCATGTCGATTAGGGGCTTATTTTCGGAGATATAAGCGAAAAACTGAAGAAAGGGCAATTTTTCTACAAATACACAAATGTAGGCTTTTATTCTGTGTATTTTTTTAAGCCCATAAAATTCGAGGTAGGCCCGATTTTTGAAAAACAAAACCTAATTCGCCCGGACTAAAATGGTGAACACTTTGAGCACCCTATAAAATAGAATTCCAATGAAAACTTGTTTTCTCTCCTTTTTTATTCTGGCATAACTGTTGTTTTCGTAAAATTTAAAATTTCTAGGGCATTCATTAAAAAATACATTTTTTCGGTCATACATTTTTATCAACCCTTAACAATTATTTATTTATTTTTCTGTAAAAAACTAATAATAAAATGAAATTATATCCATATCCTCCACCTTGTGTTATTTCCAAAATAAATATCCATAATTTGGGACCCGTTTTCAGGGCCGCATCTAAGGGTCTACGGGTGTTGTAGCCCCAGACCTCACGAAATCGGGGGGCCTCGGCAAGATCTGGCAAATTCTCTTTTTAGAATCAATCCAAAAAGTGTTTAGGTTTTGAAATTTTATATCGACAAGTTGCTGATAGCGTGACTTTTTTTTCGAATCAAATAAAATTCTATTTAGATTTTGAAATTTAATATCGTTTTTTTTTATTTAGTAAGATAGCCTGCGTATAATTTGTTGTCCCAGGCCTCGTTATAGGTTAATTCGGCCTTGTCCCCTTACCTTTAATAAATTTGAGAATAGTAAAAAGTTCGAAAACGGTTAATTTAGGAACATGATCTGCCATATAAATTTTGTTTAGAATTTCGAATAGAATTGAAATATGGAATAATATACAGAGTTTTCCCATTAAAGAAAAAACAACTTTTCACCACGACTCTTTAGCTGATCCTGTATACTTAATTTTTCTTTGTTGTTTCCTTCATATTATCGACCCTGTATATCACGATGCTTATTTGCCGTAATTTAACACAGCCCCACCGCATCAGCGTGCGCTCGGTCACAGCCAACCGTCGTACGTCGCGTGACGCCGCCTGTACCATGATCATAGGCCGGGACACCCATTCCCTTGGACCCAGCGCCGTGCGCGCCTCCAATATCACCTCCACCTCGGCGGTAATAAGCTGGTTGCCGGCCAACTCCAACCACCAGCACGTGGTTTGCGTCAACAACGTGGAGGTGCGCACTGTCAAACCGGGGGTTTACAGGCACACCATCACGGGTCTGGCGCCCAACACCCAGTACAGGGTGACGGTGAGGGCCAAGCACCACAGGGCGGCCCAGAACGTGGCTAATCTGGCGGAGGAGCTGCCCATGCCGGCGGCGGCTCACACGGATTTCAGGACGTTGCCGAAGGGGCTGCCCGATCCGCCCAGCGATATTCTAGTCGAACCAGGTAAAAACTGATATTTTTTGTGCGTATCATTTGCGGTTTAATTTTGTTGCTGTTGTATGTTGTTTTGAATTCATTTAAGATGTCTAGCACTGATTCACCTGATGAAGTGCCTGAATAAGTAAAAAAAGAGTCAAGTAAATTTGAGTAAATGGCATTGAATTAAAACATGTTTTGACCTATCGTCCTATTTTGACCTCCAGGAATCTCGCATTCTTAACGAAATCCTATACTTTTCACCTTCGCAGGCCCCCAAGACGGCACGCTGCTGGTGACCTGGCACCCCATCCTCACCCCGCACCACCCGGGCTCCACCATCACCGGCTACGCCGTCTACGCCGACGGGAAGAAGGTCACCGACGTCGACAGTCCCACGGGAGACCACGCTCTTATAGACATCAGCAAGCTGCTGGGACTGAATCCCAAACACGTCACCGTGCGCACCAAGGCCAGAGACAGCCAGTCGGCGGATAGCGTCCCGACGCTAATCCCATTGAGCGTTCTAAGGGGGGGAGCGGCCAAGTCGAGGCAGCAACCCCACTCGGCGGTGATGCCGGCGCACATAAGGCAGCAGATGCCTAGGCAGCAGCCCAATCAGCAGGGGCAGCAGGTTAGTTGGTGATATATATTTTTTATAGTGTATTTGACGTGGTTTACCCGTAACAGGTCATAGAACCGGATGAGAACTTGAGCGACAAGGAAATATTCCCAAATTCTACGACCCACCGCCAACAGAGTGGGATTCCATCGATCGGTAACATTTTTTTTTTTTTATATTTATTTCTAATACCGAACAGTATCGACACTGTGAGCAAAACCATTCTCAGATACGTCGGTCCAACAACTATGCTTTATATCAAAATTACAATAATTTTTTTTATAGAAAACGGTTTGTAAAACATATTGAGATCAGATAGACGAAATACCTGAGCTCAGTGTACTCAAAATGTAACTTTATAATGATTCTTCAAAAAATTTTACAGTAATTATGATATTTGTTAGAATATTCGTTATACCTATCCATTTTTTTACTTATCTTTAACTGCACTGCAATCAGAGCTGGGTATAAATACAGAAAAAGTACATATTTAACACATGAACACTGAATACTATGTTGAAAAAAGTGCCCATAAATACTTGAATCCTGAATACAACATTCAAAGAGTATTTGAATCCAGAATACTTGTATTCAAGTACACGTTACATGAATACAATGTTGAATACTTACCTTGGAGGTTAAAGATAAAAAATAAGCTATTGTTGTATTAAAAACAAAAGGAAATTAATCAAACTGAAATAGTATAAACATGAAATGAGGCATTTTATAAGGTCAGTCTTTAAATACCCTGTATATTTTTGAATTAACAAAAAAGTTTTTTTCAATTTGTTGATTACTTGGATACTATTTCCGAGTACTGATCGTTAGTCCCGAATACATATCTACAAATGATGAATGCGAATATCGAATACTGTCAAATAAAAGTATTCAATACTTGAATACTGATTGCACAAATATTCTATTGAATATTACACTCTTGTAAATTTTAAAATTCTGCTGGACACAGTACACACGTATAATGATTTCTGAGTATTCAAGTATTCATAATACCTTAATCATTTAAGAGTCCTTGGATATTCATAAAACACTGTCACTATTAATAAATGTACTGAGTACTGAATACATATCTAAAAGTGATGAATACGAACATTGAGTACTGTCAAATCAAAGTATTCAGTACATGAGTACTGATTGCATAAATGTCGTACCAAATGATACTCAAGCACCTGACTATTATGAATATAATATACAGACATATTAATTCTCATTTACATCATATCTTACAGTAACGAATACGAATAATGAATACTGTCACATAAAAGTATTCAATCCTTGAATACAGATTACACAAATATTGTATTGAATGTTACTTATGTAAATTATAATATTTTACCTGACTGATAGATTTATTATACACACAGATAATGAGTTTAGAGTATTCATGAGTATTAAAGTACTAAATATTCGCGAGTCCTTGGGTATTCATGGATACCCTTTTATTCATAAAACAATTTCATTCTTCATTAACGCTATTTCCAAGAACTGAATCCTGAATACATATCTAAAAGTGATGAATACGAATACTGAATACTGTCAGATAAAAGTATTCAATACTCAAGTAGGTTTTAAGATTTTACCGGACTATTATGGATGTAATATACACGCACATATTAATTCTAAAATATTTATGAATATTAAAGAATTATATCATATCTCATAGTGATGAATACGAATATTGAATATTGTCAAATAAAAGTATTCGATCCTTAAATAGTGATTACACAAATATTCTTTGAATATTGCTCATGTAAATTTGATGATTTTACCGGACTGTTATAGATAACGTAATGATTTCTGTGTATTCATGAATCCTAAATATTCATGAGTCCTTGGGTATTCATGGATACCTTATTATTCATAAAACATTTTCACTCTTAATGAATTTATTATGTATTTCCGAATAGGTACTGAATCCTGAATACATATCTGAAAGTGATGAATACGAATACTGAATACCGTCGGATAAAAATATTCAATAGTTGAGTACTGAATACACAAATTTTGTATTGAATATTACTCAAGTAGGTTTTAAGATTTTACCGGAGTATTATGGATATAATACACACACATATTTATTCTCAAATATTTACGAATATTAAAGAATCACATCTTAATGTGATGAATACTGATTACTGTCAAATAAAACTATTCAATACTGGAATACTGATTACACAAATATTGTATTGAATATTACATTGTACATTATACTTGAATAATACCTAGGTCTGATTGCATTGGTCGAGAACTTAATTTTTCCATTATTAAACAACACACAAAACAGATACCTGTGGAAGGTTTTTCTGACAGTGTCCCCTCCCTCCCCCCCTGTGACCCATAACAGTATTATTAAACGAGTAGGAGTAGACAGTATCTTATTGGCATGGTTATTAAAAATATACATTTGGATAGGTGTTAGGCAGCTTCTAGTATAAAAATGGCTTAAAATAGTCAACGGCAATACTTAGATTAAATTAGTTGATGAATGCTATGGTGGTCCGATTAGATTTTGAGGTAGAAATTGGTGTCAAACGAAGGAATACTAATCGTTTTCTCAGATATTGCTATTTCCTAAATAGTAGCACAACGATGCGTTGCAGAAATAACTAAAGAGAATTACGAGGGCAACTTGTCCGAGGACGAAATGTTAGAAAGACGGAACCAGAGGCAGTACCAGCAGAGGCCGCAGCACAGGCAGTCGCAGCAGCAGAGGGCCGAGCAACAGCAGCAGCAACAACAGCAGCAACAACAGGCTCAACAGCAACAGTATTACCAGCAGCAGCAAGGTAACGTTACGTCGGAAAACCGTTGAAACCTGCTATTAACTTCGGTCGAGTAAAATCACGCGCGACTATTGGTTGCTCTGTTCTTAGTTTTATAAATAGTCAGTAAATATTCGCATTTACACAATGATACGTAATTAAATGAATAGAGGCACGTTGTGACGTAATTTTCATTCAAAAGGCCACCTGGTGGCGGTCTGGGGAATTACAAACTACGTGAAATAGGGAAATCAAGGTTCTATACCCCAGTGCCAAAATAGTAAACGGTAGAGACATCAAATCACAATTTTTACTATTTCTTAATTTGATAAAATAATTTTGCGATTCTCTGCATGAAAATTTTAACGTGCTGTTCATTTTGCATAGTGTTCCAATACATTTAGAAAAAAAATACAGTGTCGTACTACGAAAATGAAAACTTTGTTATCTCGGTGAAATATGGACAAATGAATCTGGTGCAGTGATTGTCATGGATAGTACGCCTTACCATGGCCGACGGATAGAAAAGTTGCATGAAGAAAAGGAGAAATTATGGAATGGTTGAATGGAAACTTATTGAATATAAAGATACGAGGTTAAAAGTACAACTATTACAAATTTTATCTGGGTGTATGAGGGTGAAGATGAAGAATATCTAAAAGAAGAATCTTTTTTCTATACTACTTTGCGCATACGTTTATTTTTTTTTAGTGATCTCTGCCTTCGGCTGATCATGCATTGAACGAACCAATGAACTATCTAAATTTTAAGGTTATATAAAACAGCTGATCCATTTATTCTACTTTGTATCAGAACACAAGGTTAAAATCTGATTCCTTTCTTTGCTTTCCGAACGACAACGTCACTGATCCTAATAATCGGATTAATAAGGTAACAGTTCCTGAAAAGCCCCTCGTCTCATTTTACTGTTGCAACATTACGTAAGTAGACTTTTCCAGCGGTCACCTGTCCATTTATCGAAACACATTGGCTACGTCCCATCAAAAAAAAAAAAAAGAAAAAGGTGGTAGTACGCCAGCTTTGCCTATCAGGACAGAACTATATATAAAGAGAATACTTGCCTACCTGTTGGACATCAAGGTAACTGAAAATTTGTAACAGTATTCTAGTTTTTACCAAAATCGACATATCTATTTGTTCCATATTTAACTATTTTTGAAATCCTTTAGAGTGATACGCCCATGGAATCGCACTCCTCGATCTACATATTGAGAATGAATCACTATCTACCGTTTTGGTACTGGAGTATAGATGAGATATACGTGATTTATGGGAAATTCGGTTATTAAGGGCCGATGCAAGTATAAAGTTCTGTATAATTATTCTCTGGATATCTTATACATACTTCGATTTATTCCAAGTATAACAGCGTTCGCATTGCTTGTAGCTTCGGTATAACTATACGAAGAAGAACCGCCGAAAAACGACGTAGTAGATACAGCGTTCAGATTTAGTTCAAGTGAACTGACATAAATCAGAATAAAACACGGCAAACATGCGGTCAAGGTCAAGGTCACAGCGAGTTCAAATGATTCGTCAACCTTGAAGTAACCTCGAAATAAGATATTTACTTGCCCCCAAAGTCGATGGGACTTTCATCGAGGTACTCAATTATGACCTTGTATTTGACCTTGACCTTCAAGGTCATTTGATGGTCGACAATAGAAATCGACCCTGATGACCTCCACAAATGTTTATAAAGATATTCAGTACCATGGATCGGTGACCTTGAATTTAATCTTGAAGGTCATTTGAAGGTTGACTTTGTTTCTTTTTATATTATGAGGTTGGATCCTGGAAAAGCGTTAAATTTTTCAACCGAACACGAATTAAAAGTTCATTTGAAGATCAAATCAAGAGTTAACCCTGGAATAGTAACGAAATATTTTTAATTTTTCAAAAAACTTTAAAAATATCACACCACTATTACTGAATCTTTGAAATCCTTTCGATAGTATTCCATTTCGATAACATTAACTCTCGATTTGCTCTTTATATTAACTTTTAATTTGATACCTTACTTTGAAATATATTCGGGTACCGCTTTTTCAGGTATCAAGTATCAGGAATACAGGTTCCAACATAAAATGAAACAAATTCAACCTTTAATCAACCTTCAAATGGACCCAAACATCCTTGACAACATTTGCAGAGGTCGTCAAGATCAATTTCCGTAGTTGACATTCAATTGACCTTGAAGGTAGAGGTCAAGGTCAAATTCAAAATCGTAATTGAGTAACTTAATAAAAATTCCATCAACTTTCGGGGGCAAACATTATTTCGAGGCTACTTCAGCGGTAACAAATCACTTGAACTCTCTGTGACCTTGACCTTAACGCAAGGTTAAAGTTGAGATCACATCCAGATGTAAAATTTTCTACCGAATTCATTCCCAGGGTAAAAATAGAAGACCCAATTTAAAATTATGAAGTTGACGTTCAATTGACCTTCACGGTTAAGTAAAATTTAAGGTCATCAACTGCTTTCCCTTAATGAACTGAACAACTTTCATTTAGGTCATTTTTGGATCGGAGGCTTCACTATCGAGATATTCACGTGTATATTCACGCTTAAAATGGGACAATTGGTATACAGGGTGTTTCTGAAATAAGTGCATTCCTTGAAAACGGTGGTAGAGGGCACGAAAATAAGCAACATTTATTAAGCAACTGATGGTGCAAAACATTACGTTTTAAATTGGAAAAAATCCACATCAAGGTTTAAACAAATTTATAGCTGTCCCTGGTGCGATATCGAAGTTGCCGCGCGCCGTAGTGCGAAAACGCTGATTGCGGTTTTGACATTTTAAATTTTGTGTTCGAAAATTCTGAAATTTATTCAAATCTCGTTTAAAAGTAACACAAAAATTAAACGAATAAACGAATTACTTACCAATAGATGATGCTCTATAAAAATTATTTAATGTTGTTTCTATGTGCTAATAAACATGCTTCCAAACGACGATTAAAATTCTGTCACCAAAAACACCACTCCACACATTCATTGAACCGGAATCTCTGTATACAATGTGAGAATTTGCATCACACCGATAGTGAATGTTAAAAAAAATTAGTATGCCGTCTGCAGTAAAACAATATTCATCCGTAAAAAGCACCTTGCTTGTAAAATCCATATTTTGCTATTTGAAGTTGAAACTACTAGCAAAATTCCACACGGGGCTGAAAATCATTGTTATATAACGCTTGAACCTTTTGTACATGATGGGGGTGTAATAAATCTTCCCGTACTACACGCCACACGGTACTGTTAGTTTTATACGCCGGCTAAGTAATACTGCAACACACAACACACGTGCACAAGATGCACAGGGTCGGTTTACATTTGTGGTTAATTTTCTTAATTAATTTTCTCGAAAACGGAAGCATTTAAACCATCAGTTGCTTAATAAAAGTTGTTCATTTTCGTGCCCTCTAACGCCCTTTTCAAGGAACGTATAGCCTTATACTTGGTTTGTACTTGCATTGTAAAACGCACCCTAAAGGGTATAAAATTCTTACTGTAAACAGCATATTACTAGTTACTTATGCGAAAAGTAGGGGTTTCAATGTTTTCCAAAATAACAAAAAACTACCACACCCAATAGGCCATCACACCACTGCACCAACAAACTTTGTACACTTTACACTTAGGTAAGGTATTGACACTGATATGTCAAAGATAAAGTTTTGTGGTATAAAAAAAGACCTACCACTCCGGCAGACCTCGCACAAATTTACACTTTTCCTTAATTAGGTAAGGTTTTGTATATAATAAAGGTAATGTTACTAATGCATGACATTTAGAGATCAGGATGCATTATCTAGGAACCGTAGTAATTGACGACAACTTTAGATATCGATAGTTAAACTAGTTTGGTAAAACTTAGATGCGTGAACACATTTTTTTTTTGTGGCAGATTAGAACTTTTCCGGTAAAATTTACTTTCGAAAAGTGGCTTACTTGAATTCTCCCCGCCTTCTCCTTTAAATTTAAAAATTACACGGAGAAAAATTAAAGTATGCCACTTTGCACTTAACGAATGAACCGACGATAAACAGGTGCTTGTCGTAACGCGACGAATACTTGAATTCCGCAGCCATCTCGAGCCAGCCTACCCAGCGCATGTCGCAGCGTAACCAGCAGATGCAGGGGATGCAAGGAGCGAGGGGCAACTCCAACAGCGGCCAGAGCAACCCGAACAACCCCCCGAATCCGCAGAAGAGGGCCAGGTTCTTCGTCGCCCTCTTCGACTACGACCCCGCCACCATGTCCCCCAATCCGGACGCCTGCGACGAGGAGCTGCCGTTCTCGGAGGGGGACACGATCAAGGTGTGGGGCGACAAGGACGCCGACGGCTTCTACTGGGGGGAATGTAGAGGTAAGTCTTCTGTTCTCAGAGAAAGGAAATATTGAATTTAAATGAAATTATACATTTTTCGAAAAATATCACATACAGTGTGACGCATTATTTTTAAGCCACCCTGTAAAATCTTTATTTATTGTGCGATTTTAACCGGATTTTTTTAAGAAGTGTACTTTGTGAAGGAAAATGAGCGTGATCCCACAAAATCCAAGGCGTTTTTAGGAGTAAAATTATAATATTTCACATTAGGGATTTTTTGAGAAAAAAACTATTTACGCCACTGGATTCACGACCGCCCAAAACGAGCCAATAACAAATTTTATCAAAAACATTTAAATAATGACGATTTTGTAGTCAAATAAAAAATTCACAAGTTTTTACTTTTTTTTCATTAATTTTTAGTATCAAGTTTTCCATGACAGTTTATTTCGACAAATACAGGGTGTCCCAGAATAACGTGTACAATGGAAGACCCGAAATCGCTTCGTTTGGCAGCTAGATGGCCTCGTGAAGTTCGTGAAAATTTTTTTAATTTTGTAAATAACTCGATTATGTATTAATCGATTTTGATTATTTTTACAAATCAGGGTCATTTCATTTGACTTAATCTCAATTCATGCCCCGCAGGTGACCTTATAGGGCTAAACTATCCCCGAATTCAGGTTCAGCGCCCTCAAAAGCATACATACTTGCAGGTTAACATTCGTGAAAGGCCTTTTCTTTACTTTGACCTTGAAATGATCTCGACTTGACCGAAATGTAACCTTCTAGGGCTAAGCTATCCCCGAATTCAGTTCTCCCCCAAAAAACTTATAAACGCACTGGTAGAAATTCAATTCAAGCCTTTTCTTTAGTTTGATCTTGAGATGACCTTGAATTGACTTGAAGGTGACCTTTAGGGTTACGCTATCTCCAGATTCAGATTCTGCGAGCCCAAAAACCCATACACTCATTGGTCGAAATTCAATACAATTATTTCCTTCAGTCTGACCTTGAAACGACCTTTACCTGACCTCCAAGTGACCTTAGATAGCTAAACTATCCCCGAATTCAAGTTCAGCGATCCCAAAAGCATTGTACGTACTGGTCAAAATTCATTACATGCCTCAGTTTTTGAATCCATTAACTTGAAACTTCGTGAAGCTTACTCAGTCCTACAGCCAAAATCACATACTTCCCCCTCTATATCTCTGAAACTATTCATAGGATCACTTTGGACCCATGACAACTTCTGATAAGAAAGTTGAAAACTATAACATACTGCAATTTCAGCAGAATCGACTGGGACTCATTTTCCATTGATTTTGTGCGGAGTTTTTTAGTACAACTTATTATAAAAACTAAAAATTAATTCGGCGAAAAAAGTTAAAGCACACCTTTTGCAATTCTTAAGGGCTATTTTTGAAAACATTTATGGCATTTCGGATATGCCTCCACAACTCAGTTCACTGTTGGATGTGGAATCATGCACTGTTGTTTTCAAAGTGTCCCAAAGATAATAGTCGGAAGATGTTTAGTCTGGTGAACGAACATGCCAGTTAACAGGAAATTATCCCCTCTATCGATCCATCGACGAGTGAATCTTTGGTTCAGATACAGCCGGACATTTACAGTGAAATGTGGTGGAGCGACATCATGCATAAACCACATGTTGGCTCTGCGTAATAACGTTTTGCAAAAATTCTAAATAAAATTCCCCATTCAGTCTATTGGGCAGAATAATAGAGCCAATAGTAATGCTATCCCAAACAATAGCAAACTGAAATTACAGTCAACCTACAAAATCAAAGCCTACTAGCACTGTAATATGGGTGGCAAGATAGTGTATACATTTATCGCCACGGTAGCGCAGTCGGTCGAGAGTGCGGTGGCAAGCATTTCTCGGCTGGGCTTCCTATTCTGGTCCGGGTTCGATCCCCGGTGTCGGCACTGGCAATGTCGATGGATAATGGGTGTTTGTCCGCGTTTTTTTCAAGTGTAGCCCTCTTCCGCAGCCTTTGGCTTTGGATTTGGGGGTTGTCTCATTTCTGTGGTGTGTTTTATGTTTTATGTTTTATGTTTTATTTTTATTTAAAAAAACTTTTTTGTACCCAAACCGCTCATTTAAACAAAATTCTACAAGAGGCTCAAAAACTACCAAATGATATCACCTATCAAATAAAAAATAGTTGTCATTATTGCCCGAAAGAGGAAAAAGTTACGAACGGATATTATCACCATATATCAATTTTGTAGTTGTAGTTGTAAGTTTACCAGAATGTATAGATTGAAAACAAAAGTCCACACCCCAAAAATAATCAAAATCGAATAATACGTATTCGAGTTATTTATAAAATTCAAAAAATTTTCACAAACTTTGAGGCCATCTAGCGGCCAAACGAAGCAGTTTCGGATATAGGTGAATTAGCTTAAATCTGCCTATTTTGAGTCCACGAATCTGTGATCTCCCACACCGTTATACACGTTATTCTGGGACACCCTGTATATTCACTGGATCTAGATCGATCCGTTTCGGATTAATTTCTATTAAATGCAGTTATTAACCATGAAGCGTTTTTAATAAATGCATTATTCGGAAACGGTCAAACTTACGAAAAAAAAAGCTCAAGAGCACTTTTTTATTGTAAAATTAACAGATATTTTAAAGAAACAATCAAATATATAATTTGTCAGTGGAGTAACAATTTTTTCCTTTTTCTAAACAAAGGCACCGGTCACCTTCATTTCCTACGACGCTAATAAAACTAGAAAGTTGAAAATACATGCAAACAATGGGTCTTTATCCCAAAAAACGAAAAAAGTTTGCAAAATTTCGAATATTACGTTCAGAAAATATTAAAACAAGAATATATTTATACAGGATGTCCAGGAAACGACTGTCCACCTCTCGGACTTGTGCAAGTCTTGCAGAAATAAAGTCACATGTTTTTATACAGGGTGTTCTACAAGTTCTATGACAAACTTTGACAAACGGTAGCTGGGTTAATTTCAAACATTTTTCCTTATGTGAACAGCATTTTTTATTTAGCACTTTAACATTAAGCGTCAAATGAATAAACAAAATTACACAAATAATAATTATTGTTGTAGTAACCATCATTTTTATTTGTCAGGGTACTTTGATTGAAATATGAAATTATATTTTTGAAAATGCTTGTAACTTCTAAACAAAAACGAATCGGACCTATGTTCTTATAAGAAAAAATGTTTGAAATTAACCCAGCTATCATTTGTAAAAGTTTGTCATAGAACTTGTAGAACACTCTGTATAAAAATTTTTCGAAAATGGTTCATTTTATCAACAGCGATAACACCTTTTTCATTAAAATAAGTACAAAAAAATGGCAATAAAAATTAAGAAGTTTATAAAAGGTATACAAATTTTAAAAAGTTATAACAAAAAATCGATTTTCAACACTCAACATCAACAACTGGGGAGCCGGAAGAAAAAATTAATTAACGTTATTTTCATGGACTCGTATTATTATATAAACTACATAGTCACAAAAATTAAGGGATTTTCAAAGAGCTGTAACTTGGAGGAAAATTGATTTTTTACAATTAATTATAATTAACGTGTTTTCACGAAGAGAATATGGATTATTGCTGGGGACACGTAATTTTCGCAAAAAAACAGTCAAATCTCGCAAAACCAAAAATCGAAAATCCAAAATTTCGCATTTATTCGATAAAACCAAAAACAAATCTTCAAGTCAGTCACACATAATACATAGTTGTAAAATAAAATAAATTCTCACTTTATAAAAAATATTGGCGCAACTTTTTTAAATTTAACTTAACTGACTGTATCAGATATTCTGTTAGTTGAAAGTCAACACTGCTGAATGGCTGTCGTTTCTACATGTTCTTCCAACAGCCTGGAACGTATTTAGTTGTCCATAAAACCTGAAGAACATCAGGAGTGTCTCTTTTATCATCTGCATCGAAGAGTTGTCGATGAAAGTGACTATATCATATCCATCAATAAAGCTTATTGATGGATATAGATCTTGCGGGATATTTAAAAAAAACGGAATTTTGGAAAACTTACGACTCAGAAATGTTTCCTGAACAACCGCGTGGCAATAGCTATAGAGGGACACGTTTCATTAGATTTCATGTGAATTTATTCAAGCTCCTTCAAATTTTACCAGAAGAGATCGCTTCTCGTTTATTTCCATATTTCGCATTAATTCGCATTTTTTCTGTAATTTCGCAATTATTCGCATTTATTTCTTAATACGAAAATTACATATCTCCAATTATTGTTAAAAAACCATTTTCAATTAAAAAGAAATGAATAAAAAGTGAAAAATTTCTCGTTACATTGATTTTCAACAAAAACGATAAATTTAAACACACCGGCACTAGGAAAAAATCTCAGTGCTTTGAAACTATCAACGTTTCTTTAGGACACTTTGAAGTTGAAAAGTTACAGTCAATACCCTTATAGTACAATCATATTCGATGCAAAGTAATAAATCATTGCCTGTCAAGGGAACCAATGAAGTACGCCTATAAGGGTTTTACAAATTGACTAATTTCTTTATACATTATGAAGGGACGAGGGGATCAATTCAGGTCTGGCACCCTTGTTGCTACAAAAATTCCTTTATTCTCATAAACTATTAATTTTAAATGTAATTTATTATAAATCCAATTTGTTTCCTAAATTCCACATATGTACTACATTTTACCTCTGTACGCGCCACTGTTGTTTACTTGTTTTTTGGAAGCGCTCTCTAATTGAC